TAATGTGATTAGTTAAATTTAAATTTAAATTGTGAACATAATTTAAATTTATCATTTTAAACTTATTTGATAAGTTGTTCAATTTAGAATTCAAATTAATTTAAGTTTGACTTAAATTTGAATTTGAATTTGAATTAAAATTAGACTACAGGATAAAGGATGATTTCTCTTCCATCCTTATCGAGTATTGGCGCCACACACAAGGGATGGAAACCCTAGGGTGGCCGGCCACTTAAGGGATAAGGTATAGGAGATTTTTTTGTTCTAAATTCAAATAGGAGATAGAGATTTGATTCCTTTTAGAAGTTTGACTTCTACTCTTTAAATATGAGAATAATAGAAAATTGTGAACACAATTTTTTGAAAACAATTTTCTGCCCTAATTATTGAGTGTGGCCGAAATTTCTCATAGAGAAAAGAGAGGAAATTTTTTTTCTCCAAAAAATTCCACATCGTGCATGCGTTGGTGTTTGTGGAAATTCGAGTGTTATTAAAACCTGTTTTGTCTCACGTGTGCCCACACACACGTCTACGTAGAGTCAAAAAATTGACGTGGAAGACTTTGGTTTTCTAAACACAAAGATTGAAGCAAGGACTGTTCGTGGTCAAAGGACTCAAGTTATCATCCGAGTCGGCCTCCAGGTATTTTTCCTAATTGAGTTCTTAACATATAAATTAATGTGATTAATTTATTCGTGCATAAACTTGTATAATCTATAGAGTATCTCAAAAGTTTTATGAAATTTTTGTTATACACGATCCGCCTCCCCGCCACGCTTCCGCATCCGAATTCGATTCGGTTACTGACATTGTCCTATGTTATATGCATTAGCAACCATTTTAGATCCTAGGTGTGGAGTATATGAGACTGAATTTTTTATGACTGCTAAAACATAAAATTTAGGTATTGATATGCAACTAACTATTATTGACGCTAGGAAAATGTTAGAAATACAACACAGGTCAAAAAGAATAGGGAACTTCAAACTCAACTAGTAGTTTGGGGCCTAAAGGCTCGTGGTGGAGTTTCTTAAAGAAGAAAAAGAAAATGACATGATCGTCATCAACACAAGCGTTTGCCGAACTAGTAAAATATTTTGAAGCAAATTTTGTAATCAATGACAACAAACTGGACATCTTACAGTGGTGGAAGAGCAAGACCGATCATTTTCTAACACTGCCCGTAATAGGTTGTGACATTCTAACAATTCCAGTGTCAACGGTAGCATCAGAGTAAGCATTTAGTGAAAGCAACCGAATTCTTGACGAGAAGAGAAGCAGAATGCATCCAGATATCTTGAAGGGGCTAATGTGCGTTAAAGACTGGGAAGATGCCAGAAAACGAAACCAACAATACACGGATGATTCAATGCAAGACTATTTTTCTAACTTAGAAATAAGAGAATCTTATGGAAGCACTTAGGTTTTGTAATTTACTATTCCTAGAATACTGCACTCTTTTTTCTTTCGCTAAGGTTTTGTCTCGATCTCCCCACGGGTTTTATTTGGCAAGGTTTTTAACAGGCAATCATTTATGTGTACTTATTCGTATTATCTCAATTCAATAAAATCACATCTTTTGGGGGCATATGATATATTTTCTTTTTTTAATTAAATTTTGGAAAAAAAATCACAAGGGCCAAGGCTAGCCCTGGCCCTTATGGACTAGGGCTGCGGGCCTAGATCAGGCCTGAGATTTTCTTCTCAGGCCTAGCCCTGCATTGTGCAGGCATGGCCCAGGCCCGCCACGGGCCTGGGGTCGGACGTGGCACGACACGTTTGACAACTCTATCTTGACCTTTCTCCTCTTGTTGTTAAACATTCTTTGAGTGCAGATGCTGAAGAACGTGTAAAGAAGCTTAAAAAGCTTCATGAGCAGATCGTCTTCAAATAGAAAAGTCCAACAAAGTTTACAAGCAACACGCCGACAATAAGCGTAAACCGTTGGTGTTTGCTGTTGGAGATTTGGTTTGGGTTCATCTCCGAAAAGAGAGGTTTCTTAATAGACGATATCCTGAGCTTCAAGCTCGTGCTGATGGTCCTTTTCGTGTGGTTCAAGTGCTTGGCGATAATGCTTACCGTCTGGACCTTTCGGACAGCTATGGTGTCTCTCCCATTTCAATGTTGCTGACTTGGCGCTTTTCCAAAGGGATCCTTTATGAGGTGTTTGGTATGAGGATTCGTGTCATAGTTCGAATTATGGTTCGTGACTCTCTACAGTATTTTCTATCATAAAAAACACATGTAAACTGAGATGATTCTAAATCATAGTTCTAAATTTATGAACAAAACATCTACTTAGACTCAGGAACGAGTTTTCTCTAACCCGGAGAGAATGTTGCACAAGAGGATGGTGTGAACAATGAAGACTTAATGGGGCTAAACGTGCAAGGCTTTTGGACTAAAGAATATTCTAATTTAATTGGGCCTGGCGTTTGGACCGAAGAAAATTCTAATTTAATCAAGAGAAATAATAGAAAATATGCCAATATGAAAAGCTTAAGAAAGTATATAAGTTAATTTTTAGTTATAAAAATTTATGGTTCATAACCTATCAAGTTATGGTTCATAACCAGATAAGTTATGGACAAATTTGTCAAGTTATGGTTTACAGCCAGACAAGTTATAGACAATAACTTGTCAAGTTATGGTTCATAACCAGACAAGTTATGGACGACGAAAATAGTAATTTAGCCTATTTATTGACTTATGTAAACTATTGACTTATTAATTTTAATTTATTTTAAGTCTTGACCTATTTTTCTCTTTCTTAACTTGTGAGCACTTTGAAGAAGGCCCAAACCAACTTGCTTTAAACGCATAATAGGAATCCAAGATAGGAAGTTGGCGCATATGAAGTCACAAGAAGACTAGAGTTGCCGCCAACTTGGAGTAGTCATCAAGTTTCAGTCAACTTTCCTTTTTTTAATTTTCCTAATTTTAGTTTCCCTTTTCTGTTGTTTCCCTTTCTTGTGATTTCCTGTTTTTAGTATGATTTAGTTTCTCTTTTCTGTTTTAAGTAAGAATAGGATTTATCGTTTATGCATTTTTAATTGTTCTTTGTACTCTGACTCTATTTAAAGAGGGAGCTATACGCTTAATGTACCCATTGGTGATAAAAAAAATAAATAAAAATCAGAGTTTTGCACATTGGTTTTCTGGAAAAACTCTTCTTTGCCTTTATCTCTTTCTAGAGTGGTGATTTCTTTGTTCTTTATCCTATGCATTCGATCCTAGTGGTGACAGGAAGTCTTTATCTGGGTTAGATTGTTTTGGTGGTGAACATTCTATCCTTCTATCATTGTTTTCATTTTTCTTAGCAATCAAAAACAAAAAAAAAAACAAAAAAAACAAAAAAAATTTCTTTCCGCTGCCTTTCTTTAGATGTTGGGAAGGTAGTGGGATTAACAATTGTTCGTTGGTGATATTACATCAAAGGGGTAAAAATTCACTGATGCCTTCTAAAAAGTAAATTTAATAATTTTCTCAATCGAAAATAAAAAATAAAAGATTATGGACACAACTAGTTTCTGAACTTTGAACATAATAATATTTTTGTCACTGAGCTTTTAATTTTGGTATAATAGTCTCTTTGAACTTTCAATTTTTAATTGTTTTTATCCCTAACAATAAAAATGTAGAAGAATTTATGAAATTTAACGTAGATAATCACATTCTTATTACATAATAAATGAAATTTTACATAAATTGCATTATAATTTTCAACATGTTTCAATAATAACATGAGAAAATTTTACATATAACATAACTCCTATAAAACATTTTAGGTTATGCTGGGATAAACACATGATTATCTTTTTTTAAATTTTAGAAATCATTGTCGATTTTACTTTTAAGAATCAAAATGATAAAAAATAAAAAAAATGTCAAGACGAAAATGCTAAAATTAAAAGTGTAACAACCAAAATATCAAGAAATAACATGCCAAATAGTCAAAAATAAAACTAACAAACAAACAGTTACAACTTACAAATAATAAAAATAAGGGATAATACTCAAAATACTCTTGTGTTTTGTCAAAATCCACTTTCTCTTCTTTTATTTCTCAAATACCCAAAACAATCCTTTGTAATTGCAAAATAAATAAGGCAAAAGTAGTGTTTGACAAAACAAGGGAGTTATTTTAGGTATTTTACCTAAAAATAAAACAAATACTTTTCGTCATAAATAAATGTTATTTTACAAAACGTCTGCCTTGTTTTTTTTTTTTTTTTTTTAAACATTCGGTCTTGTTGTTTAATCGCATTTTTTTTATAAGATAGACCTAAAGTGGCCATCCTTTCAAGCCAATATCACCCAAGGTGAAAGTTTTAAATGGATAGCTCTCTCATTTGATGAAACTTTTGTGTTTTCCAAATTGTCCTCTTGTCTTAAAAAAAAAAAAAAAAAAAAAAAAAAAAAAAAAACAAAAAAAAAAAAAAAAAAAGAGGTCATCTTCTCCAAAAGAAAACCAAAGAATACACTTCTCTCGTCACTTTGCCATCTCCGGCGGTGCCCCCACCACCAATGACGCCCTCCGTCGACGTCCATCATCTCCGGCAGTCATCTTTATTCACACTCCAATTTTGTTTCTAATATTAAGGAGAGACAAATCAAGAGTTTTTGAGATTTTAAAAGCTTGAGAAATCAAGCTCACTTTCTTTCTTTCTTTCTTTCTTTTTTTTTTTTTTTTTTTTTTTTAATTATTTTTTCAAAAAAAAAATTTTTTCTTTTTTTTTTTTTTTTTTTTTTTTAAATCATTGTTCAAAAATTGAGTAATTTATTTTCTATTATATGGTGGTGTTTAAACACCACGGCGATGTCCCTGTAATATTGCTCTTAATTAGAAGCATAAAGGTAGGGGCATCTGTAGTCTGTAATGCCCCTCACATGGTAACGTGGCTGGTCACTTGAGACATAAAGCAATGTAGGACCCATTCATTTTAAAAAACAAATAGACTATTATTATTATTATTTTTTCCTGCCTTCCCTTCCTTTCTTCTGCTTGCGTTCTCTTTCTTCTTTCACCCGCCTTCCCACCTTCCCACCTTCCCACCTTCCCACGGTGAACGAACACCCCTCTGTGGCATCTGTCAAAACTCCGGCGTTGGAAACTCTCCGACGAACGTGCTCGCACCATCGCCACCCCGTTCAACAAAGCAACAGATCTAGATGGTTCCCCATTAGTTAGAAGGCGTTTCAATTGGAGGTTACTGGCTGAAAAAGTCCCATTTTTGAGGGGGGAAAAGAAAAAAAGAGCGCGCATCAGTCCCTCGGTCTTTCTGCCGTCGCGAGCAACGTAGCCAGCCCTCCTTTCGAGCGGATTTCAAACCACCTGTAAGCCAATCTTCTCCATGGTTGTTTTCTGTTTGTTTTCTTATTATTATTTTTTGGTAATTTCTGTTTGAAGTTGTGATTTTGTGGTTGGAAACTCCAAATCGTTGAGGGTATTTGAGCGTTTCTGCTATAGTTGTTAATTTTCCTTTGCTTCTATGATGGGTCCTTTCGGAGATTTCATAGACTTTACAAATGCCAAGATGGGTTGCTTCGGAATTTTAATCTTTGCGCATTGGTTAATAATGGTTATGGTTGAGTTTCCCCATTTGGGTTATTATGTGGTTGTTGTAAATGTAATTTGCAAAATGGTTTTCCCTTGTGAAGATGAGAATATGAAATTGAGGAGTGGGAACGATGGAGATAATAAATTGTCGTTGGGGAAAACAGAAAACAGTAGGGTGACTAGGAGAAGGGGATTTTGTTATGGTTACGCCTGAGCTTGCGGTTGTTGACCATAAGAATGAAAAGAGATTCAATTGTGTTTGTCACTTTTGTTTGTAGTTGAAGTAGGGGTTGATAGATTATTGAAGTTTTGTGTTTGAATATATATAAATATATATATATATATATATATATATTGAAGTTAGTTTATGGAATTCGTTTTATTGTGGATTTTGTTGATATTTGATCGATGTTTTTGGAATTTGTTTGACTGTTGAAAATGCATAGTATTTGTGATTTTTGGTTGCTATTGATGAAAATTGCTAGTTTAATTCTTTTGTATGTTTAGCTATTTGTGTTTTTTTGTTCATTATTTTACTCTCTTTAGAATATTGATATTAGTTTGATTATTTGATAGTTGATATAAATTGGGTTGTTGTAATTAGTTGGTTATTGTTCGAAGTTCATATTTGTGAGATTGGTGAAATTAGTATCATATTTGTTGGAAATTGGTATGATTATGGTGTTGTGAAATGTTTGATTTTTATGCAATATGGCCACAATATTCGACTATGTACTTTTGAACTTTGTAATTTTAATGTCTATATTCTTCATTCTAAATGTGGTTGTTAGGTTTTTTCTTATTATCCTTTTTTTCTTGTAAAGAAATGGGCAAGGAGGAAAGCCCACAAATTACAAGAAGAACAACAAGGTACTCTTCAGCTGCCGTTTTGAAAAATTCAGTTGAAACTAAAGCAAGTGATACAAACCTTCCAAGTCTAAACGACCTTTTGTATGGAGAGGAAGGGAAACCCATTAGCCTGGATGATGTGTTATCTAGTTTCCCAGGTCGAAAAATACAGATTCTAGAGCTTATGCATATTTTGGGTCCTGTGAATTGCCCCATGGTTCCTCTCTTTATCTATGGAGGCACTTTTACTGGGAAAACGAGCATCACTCTGCAGATATTTAGGCATCTTAATCGGCCGTTTGTTTATTCGGGTTGCCTTACCTGTTATAATCCAAGAATCTTGTTTGAATCTGTTTTGAACCAGCTGTTGCTTCACAGGAAGAATGAGGCTAATGGTTATTCAAGTGCAAAACGCTGCGAAAGGCCATCTGATTTCGTTAATTTTCTTCGTGAAGCATTGGTTAGCGTCACGACTAGTCTTCGGGGGAATTCAGGAAAATCTGGTTCTAAAAAATCAGACAAGCGAGCTAATGGGAATATGGTCTACTTGATATTTGACAATTTGGAGCTTGTTAGAGAGTGGGATAAGAGTTCTACCATATTACCATTTTTGTTTAATCTCTATGATATTCTAAAAATGCCAGAATTAGGTCTGATCTTCATTAGCAATACTTCACCTGATACATATTACTCAAATATGGGTTACGTGGAGCCTACCCCTTTATATTTTTCTGATTATTCAGAAGATGATCTTCGTCAAATCTTCATGCGAAACCAAGAAAACAAGAAGCTTTATTCATCCTTTTTAGAGTAAGAATCTTAGCTTTTTTCCCTCTCTACTGGTTTTTTGCTTTATCTCTAGATATCAATGAACGTGTTCTTCTCTTTTTGACAGGGTTGTGCTTAGGCCTTTCTTCCGTATTACTAGACGGGTAGATGAATTATCTACCGCCTTTTCACAATTATATAAGAAGTACTGTGAGCCTTTAAGTGATCCAGGAGTAGTTCCCAATGAAGAAATGAAAAGAAAGTTGTTTAGTAATCTTCAACCGCATATTCCTCCATCTATGAATGATATATTTAAAGTTTCATCTCAGCCTTCTACTAAAGTTGGGGCCACCAAGGAGGCAAAGTGGAAAAGTGGCACAAAAAGATCGGGAGGTTTTGAAGCTATCGATCAATTAGATCTCCATATGTCCACTTCTGCCAAGTATCTTCTTCTTTCAGCATTCCTTGCTTCAAGAAATCCGGCTACTCTTGACGCATCACTGTTTGATTCTACTGGGGGTTCTGACAATCGGAAGCGAAAGAGGAAGTACGTGCATTTAGGAATTGTATTTTTAGATTAATATATCAATGAAGCACATGTCATACAGTTATTTAGTTAGCTTTCCACTGAAATAGGATTCAAGTATGAAGCTTTAAATTCCTTAAAAGAACTGCAGTCTCATAAAATCTAATTGGTAAAATAAAGACCATACTTTTTGTATATGCTCGGTGTTTTGACTTTTTATAATGATTGTACCTTTATGATTGAAGGTTATATGCAAAAGCTCTTCAGCAAAGCAAGCAGATATTCTGTGTTTTGCTTGGATAAGAACAACTAAAATTCCCTTTTAGTTTTTGTAACTGCACAACAGAGATGGTGGTACTTATCTTGAGCTTTCGGCTGTATATGGAAGCTCGAGTAAGAACCACAGCTGCAGTAATTTTTCTTTTCTGATATTAGTATTTGGACTTATGCTATTCAGTTCTGTTAAAAAATATTTGACAAATATGATTGTGCCAGCTTGTTGCTTCTTTATATCATTTTATCACTTCATGGAACTTAATGCAGTTATTCATATTTGAGAATTTCTGTATAATCTAGGTTCTCATTTGTGTCATATTGTATTTACATCGACCCCTTGTAACATTAATTTTGTCTTGAAAATTGTTCTTCATGCTCAGGCCATCTGAGAAATCATTGGAACAGAAGGAAGCAGTAGAACAGGACTTACTTATGAGAGGACCTGGAACTTTTCCATTGGAGAGACTGTTAGCCATATTTCAGTGTATTACATCATTAGCCGAAGGTTTACTTGAAGAGGAAGAACAAGGAAATGATGGTCTCGGAGTTCAAGGTTACGACAATAGCCTCATGTCTGACGTTCTCTTGCAACTATCCAGTTTATGCAATGCCAACTTTATTGTCAAAGGAGGAAGCTGCCCGCTAGAGGGCTCAACTCGATACCGATCTACAATATGTGAAGATCTGGCTTTGAAGGTAATATTTGCTTCACGTACTGAAAGTCTTATTATTTTGCTAGAGTTTTAACATTTCTGATGCGTTTTACACGTCTTTTTTATTATGAATTTTCGTTTGGGAGTTTGCAGGTAGCAAGGAGCCTTGAGTTCCCTCTTTCAAAGTATTTATACAGAAGATAATTTTTGAATTTGACAAGGTATTGTAGCATGGTTCTCAAGTTCTTCACAAAGATCTAAAAGAAATTCTTGATGAAAATGTCGGTTCCTTTTCCTTTTTCTTTCTTACAAGCTTTTCTTGCACGATTAAAGTAAGCATTAGATTTGAGCCGACAAAAAGTTACTGGTGATTGAGTGGACATACTGACTTGTGCCAGGTAATAGAACAGTTTGTGGAGCAGTGGATTGTAGTATAAGTCGAGTAGTCCTACCATTTATGTTGTTGTAATTAACTGGACTGACCAGACCCCGCAACTTGGTTTTTTCTTGTTGAGTTGAAAACTTGCTTGATGTACAAACCTTGTTCAAAGTGTAGTAAATTTTTTCCTCTGTTTTCTTATATCCTTTTCTGATATGGGTAAATCTCAATGCAGTTCTCGTCCTCTTTCATACTCTTTGTTATTGATTTGACTTTATTGCTTTCTGTTAATTATTGTTAGTTGCTCAACTCTTGACAATTGAGTGTGTTCGTAGGATGGTAAATGTGCCTGGGATTGGTTAAAGTTTTCATAGCTAATAGGGGCAGTGGTGAATCACTTAGGCTTAGTGCCTCAAGAAGCACTAGGTCTAAGGTTTGATTCCTATTGATTGTTATCAATTCCTTGAGACACGCCCGCGGGTCAAAGGCCCTAGATTTACCCAGTCTACTGGAGGGGGTGCTTTGCATGATCCCGTGGGTTAGTCGGGGAAAAGTCTCGGACACAAGGGTCAAGTTGTGCTGTTGATCATAAACATGCCATAGTGACATAACTGTTGCAGTTAACAATACAATGGGAAAATGTGAGGGCAATTACATTCTCAGCTACTCAAAAAGGTGGTAGCTTTGTATTTTGTTTTTGTTTGCTAACCAATATGCTATATACAAACGACACAATTATTATTATTATTATTTTTTAACCTAAAGAGTAAGCAGAAGTTTTTAGGTGGAATCTGCAAATCCAAATGGCTAGAAAATGTAAATGCAGGTCCTTTTGAAATGATGGCAATGTGTAGGACCTACTTTCCGTCGCTGTTAAAGACTATCCTAAAGGGAATTTATGGCAATGAAAAATTCTTACGCTTTGTAAGTTGCATAAGGAATTACTTTAGTGGCTCCACCATGTTCTGAAGTGGATTAGAAACGATGTGAGGTATCTGTTTTAAAGATAAATTAGCATATTAAAGTGGAAAATAGAGCTCAAGTGGTTGGTTACGTGGGTGTGTGTGTTTAATTTATTATTCGAATCTTAATATTTTTTTTTCCTAATATAGTGGGTGCTATAGGCCCTACACTGTGTAAAAAAAAAACATAATAGAAATTAATTAAAACATTTCAAGGCCTCGTTTAGAAATAATCTGGAAAGAAGTCTCAAAATAAATTAACATTTCTGCTATATGACAATGCATTTGGTGAGACAATATGAAAAAAGAGTTTTTTTTTTTTTTTTTTTTTTTGATAAATTAACATTTCTGCTATATGACAATGCATTTGGTGAGACAATATGAAAAAAGAGTTTTTTTTTTTTTTTTTTTTTTTGGTTACAAAGTAGCATAAAACGCAAGGTAATTCTTAGTCGTTTTTTAACTTCGGCTTATTTTTGCGAAAGAATTGATTCTAAATATCGATTTTACAAGTATTTTTGTATGACTAGATTGCCATCCTCCCCTGTTGATCAATATGTAGATCTCACGGCAAGATTTGCATAATTATGAAGCTCATATAGATCCATAGTTAAGTAAAAATAGCCGCATTGTCCCTAGTCGGTCGGGCTCATGTGGTTTGAATTCATGAGCCAAGCTCTAAATGGTGTTCGGCCTTACAATTGGAGATGGAGTTTTGAATGTTTCTTGACCAATCAAAACCATCCATTTTAGAACTTATAGCACCTCATAAATTTAAGTGCTTTATTACACGTTTTAGAGTGATTTTCAAACTACACTTTACAGACTTTATAGTTCAAACCAATAGTTTAGCTAGCTTAACCCAAAAACAAGGATTTGCATTTTATGTAGCAGTGTCGCTACAGGTTGGTGACCTAAATTAATTCAAATCAAAGTTGAATCTACAATTAGAACTATGAGTTTCCAGTCTCCCAGTTTTTCAAGGATAAAATTAGTAGTTGAATAAGATTGCATGATCAAGAATTGATATTGCCTTTTTTTCCCTCCACTATTCAACAATTAAAAGGCAGAGCTTATAATGGATAAAACCCTTCGTGAATGATCATATGGGTAGCTTTAACTTTGTAACAACCCCCCAACCACATTAGTGTCCTCGTCATCCTCAATTCTGCCTCTTGTTTAATAACTTAATAATGAGGTCATATTTCTTAAATTTCCATTCTTGTCTAAGCTGTTGCAACTAATAAAATTTCCAGATGTTGACCAAAGGGCATGTCTTGTAGGCTTGAGACGACCCTAATTTTGATTACATTTTAGCTTATATGTCACTCACACTCAAACAAACTTTTGTTTATGACAAAATGAGAATTTTACTGGTGTTTTCTATTTTTTAAAAACACTAGTGTTTTTTACTTATCAGTCGTCGGATCTTTATTATTTTTTCAATCTAATTTAACTTTTAATCATATTTAATGCAAATCTGACGGATGATAAACAGAAAACACAAATATTCTCAAAAAAAAAAAAAAATACTAGAGAAATTCCCTTAAAATAAAGACAACACAAACTTACCTGTAATATCTATATATTAGCGAAGAATATATGGGGAATGAAACAAATAAGGAGGATTTTTTTTTTCCTGCAAAAATAAGGAGGCAATTTAATGTTGCGGCCACCCATCTCTAGTATTCTATTGCGATTGAGTAAACCTTTATTTATTTATTTTTATTTTTTTTAAAGTGTTGAGAGACCGTGGATAGTTTTTCTTTGACTTTTCACACACAGTAACAAATATATTATCAGAGTAAAGAAACTCTTTTTCTACTTCTTTTTTTTCTTTTTTTTTTTTTTTCAAACAATTCCGAGTGTCTCGCTTGTGGATCTTTTCATTTCTCATTTGTAATAAAGGTAATTTTATCCCAATTAGTTTAGGTTATTATTTCGTTTGTTCAGATTGTTTTTTTCCTATCAATTGTAGAAAATCTGGTAAAGAGTTACATATGTGCTTGAATTTTAGTATACCTTTTTGGATGGTTTTCATTTGTGAAGTTGAGTACACAATATTTTTTCTTGAGCTTCATTGAAGTTTGCTAATAGAATCGGTTATTTGTTGGTGCCATGTTTCTTATAGTAGGGGCTATAAGAGAGAAGACGATTCTACGAAGGAGAGGAGGTTTCGTTCAAGAACAGAGTTCAACTTCAAATTCGTCAAACAATTTTATTCTTTCTTGAATTTCGTATGTTAATTATTATTATCATTATGTTTTCTTTTTCAATTATGTTCTAAATTTCTAGACTAGGGCTACAAGTGTAGCCAAGACATGAATATTTGATTTCATTTATTTTCTTTTAAAGAAGTTTAGTCACTAAGAGTTTTCCATTCATGAATGTGTTTTTTTTATTGTTCTTAATGCTTTTAATAAACTGATCACTTATTGAATTAAATTAAAAACCTAAATTAAAACCCGAGAAGGAGATTTTTAGGAATAGTTTCTAACAAAAGGAAGTGTAAGGTGGGATAGTAGGACATCGAGAGATAGTAATACGACTTGCAAGAGTAATTTTAGAAAAATCAAAGAACTTAATGAATTTCTAGGATGGTGGGATTCACATTAGCGATAGTGAATTTACATGTTAGAAATATTTTTAGTAGCATCCCCAGAAGGACTATTAGATAAATTACGATTTTTCGTTCTACTACATGAATTGGAGGCGATGTTAGCGAATAATTAGAATTAAATAGGATTTGTCTTGGTGAAACTTGTATGCTCTAGTATTTTCTTTACATTGATCTCTTTTCATAATTATTTTGTGATTTTTAGGAATTAATACAACAAGCGGCACTATTTTTTTGATGAATATTGTATTTTTTTATGATTTTCTTTATTTCTTGTCTTTGAAAAATAAAATAAAATAAAAATGACGTCAAAAAATTATGAAATTTTACAAACACGATCCTTACATTTTTCTTGGCATGCCTGCAAAAAATGGCATAAAAAGACAAAAAGTAAAATGCTGTCAAAAAGCCCTCGCCCCGCGTAGTGGGGCGCCCAGGGCCCGGGATGGGTCAAAAATTTATATTTTTATTTATGTTTTGCATTCTAAAATTAATATATGATTTTTGGGATTAATGTACCAAGCGGCACCATTTCTTGATGAATATTATATTTTTTATGATTTTCTTTATTTCTCAACTTTGAAAAATAAAATAAAATGAAAACGCGTCAAAAAATTATGAAATTTTACAGACACGATCCTTACTTTTTCTAGGCATGCCTGCAAAAAATGGCCTAAAAAAAGACAAAAAAAGTAAAATGCTGTCAAAAAGCCCCCGCCCCGCGTAGTGGGGCGCCCAAGGGTCGAGATGGGTCAAAAATTTATATTTTCATTTATGTTTTACATTCTAAAATTAATATATGACTTTTAGGAATTAATGCAATAAGCGGCACCATTTCTTGATGAATATCATATTTTTTTTATGATTTTCTTTATTTCTCGACTTTGAAAAATGAAATAAAATGAAAACGACGTCAAAAAATTATGAATTTTACAGACACGATCCTTACATTTTTCTGGGCATGCCTGCAAAAAAAGGCCTAAAAAAGACAAAAAAGTAAAACACTGTCAAAAAGCCCCCGCCCCGCGTAGGGGGCGCCCAGGGGTCATGTGTCAAAAATTTATATTTGTATTTTTGTTTTGCATTCTAAAATTAATATACGATTTTTACGAATTAATGCAAGAAGCGGCACTATTTTTTGATGAATATTCTTTTTTATGATTTTCTTTATTTCTCGTCTTTGAAAAATAAAATAAAATAAAAACGACGACAAACAATTATGAAATTTTGTAGACACGATCCTTACATTTTTCTGGGCATGCCTGCAAAAAATAGCCTAAAAAGACAAAAAAGTAAAACGCTGTCCAAAAGCCCTTGCCCCGCGTAATGGGGCGCCCAGGGGCCGGAATTGGTTAAAAATTTATTTTTTATTTATGTTTTGCATTGTAAAGTTAATATACTATTTTTAGGAATTAATGCAATAAGCGGCACCATTTCTTGATGAACATTATATTTTTTATGATTTTCTTTATTTCTCAACTTTAAAAAATAAAATAAAATAAAAACGACGACAAAAAATTATGAAATTTTACAGACACGATCCTTACATTTTTCTGGACATGCTTGTAAAAAATGGGCTCAATAAATGACAAAAAAGAGAAACGCTGTCAAAAAG